GATTTTTTATAGATAGTGAAAATGAATGTAATAATATATATGATTTCTGACATTAAAAGTATTTATCTATTTGCATGTGTATATGTTGACAAAATATTTTAGAATTCTTAATTCTCTCTAGAGAATGAGATTGTTCTTAAAATTTGATTCTATTCAATCTTTCGTAAGATATAAAATAATTCTAAATAATGTAGAATAGATATATTCTTTTGAATAATTATTTTTCGATTAATGATAATATTAGAAGAAGAATTTGATCTGTTAGAATTATATTTATTTATTATTATAAAAGACTACAGAAGAAAAAAAAAGCGTTTGGTATAATTTATGAAAATGCGTAGTCTTATTTGTGACAATGAATAAACAAGAAATAGAAGATTTTCTTGATACAAAAACAAATTTAACGAAAAAAGTTTCGAATTTTTGAAATATTTTTTAATTTAATTTTATAAATATCGATGATTTGAAATAGGAATAAGAAAACATTTTTCTGTTGTAACTGTTGGTAATAATTGAGTAATTTTTGATCTTCGATATGCTGATTTTGATGCTGAACGATGATTCCGATGAAAATTTCTAACAGATTGAGTTTGATCTTCAAATGAATTTCTATTTGAAAAAGTTTCAGTTGATGAAATAAATCCTTTATCTGAATGACGTTTTAATAAATTTCTTTGTTCATCATTTGGATGAACTGAACTACAACGAGAGACTACTGAAAAAAGAAAAAGAATTAATTATCTATAGAATTGAAAAAGAAAAGCAAACCTGATTGATTTAATGAACGATTTAATGATGAATTATTATCTTGTTGGGATATTACTTCAGATGAATTATTTGGAAGAGTTCTTTGAGGAGAAAATCCTAATGGTTTGACTGATAAACCAAGAGTTGAAAGATCACGAAAAAATACAGGAGATCGTTGATTATATAATAATTTATCATCTGATGGTGTTTCATCAATTGATGGAGTTATTAATACACGACGAAGTTTTGTATAACGTTCAACAATTGATGATGATGATGATGAATCTTCTATAGATATTGATCTTGTTGGTTTATTGTTTTGAGGTTTAATATCTGTTGAAATTGTTTTTATAAGTGTTCCTTTACAATTAAGATTAGTTGTTTCTTTATTAAACATTCTATTTAATTGTTTTTTTAATAAAATTTTAAATTTATCTTGATTAGATGAATGATCAGTTTGTTTTATTTGATTTTCTTTCGAATAATGACTACTTTCAACATGACGAAGTGGAAAACGAGTTCGTGTAGATTTTATACGATTTAAATGTGCTAAAAATTTGAAAATAAATTTAAAAAGAAGAAATCTTAATTTCTTAACTAACATTGTTGATTATTATTTGAAGATTGATTATTATTATCTTCTTCAATTGATAAACAATCATCTGATAATGTTGAATTATTTTCACTTCCATTTAACAGATTTTTTTCATTTTTAAATAATCGTCTAAGACGTTTTGGAAAAAGATTATTTGTGAAACTTGTTGAAGATATAAAATCATTTTTAATTGATATTGGATTTGCTTTTAATTTATCTTGTCGAGGTAAATAAAGACCAATGTTTGAATTAAAATCTATATTATTTCGAGGAAAAACAAGTTTTTTATTAAGAGATGACGATGACCAAATATCAAGTCCATTTATCCAATCTGATGTATTAACAAAATCATGATGAGATTTAAATGGACAATTTGAACTTTCAATTAAAGATTTTGTTAATAAACGATCATTTGATGGAGAACAATATGAAACCATTGACAAATATTTCTTTAACAACAAAAGCACTTTGATGTGCAATTTTCTTTTTTTATGTTATCAAAACAGAAACGTTTTCTTTTCTTTTTTTTTCAATTCATCTCTTGACAATTGGACAAAGATTTTTAACCAATTGAAGTCTACAAATAATCATCTCATTCAGACTATTTTAGAATCGAAAAAGCATCTATAACCAAATGAGACCATTTAATAGACATTATGGAAGATTAACAAATTGTTTTCTTTTCATTTTTCTATTATATAACATTCATTACCAAACAAGAACATTTTATCAAAAAGAAAAAGAACAATATTAACATTTATTTATTATTTAATACAACTAAAATGAAACTCTTCAAAAATTTCATACATTAATATACAAATATGATTATATAATTTGAGAATTTATTTCAAATATCTTTATCTAGACGATTTATTGTCGAAAATAATACGCATTACTGAAGAAAAAAAAGCTTAAGTTATTTGAAAACTTCATTTAATACAAATAAACCCTCGTTTTTATTCTTGTAAATCAATACAATCGAAGTCGATTTAAAAAAGAAAAAGAAATCAATTTGACTGTTATTTATTAAGAGATTCTTCCCAGAAGACTTCCGTTCATTGTAATATGATCAAGTAAATCTAAATAATATTTAATTAATTAGGAATTTTAGAAGAAAGGTGAGATATTCTTTAAAATTCATTTAAATATAATAATCAAATTTTACATGAACTTTTATGTATCTTTCGAGAATAAATGAATCGAATTGTATTTTATCATAGATTTTTATCTTATCTTCTTTTTTATTACTACGTACATAAAATATATTTCAGAAATCTCGTAGTCTTATTACAAATTTCTCATTTTGTTTTTCTTATCTTATCAACGCAAACAAAAAGTATAGGATGTCCTAAAAGTCATAATCATTTATGAAATTCATCTTTCTCTCATATTAGCAAAGTGGTATTACTAATATTTTATTTTTATTTTATAGAAGAGAAAAGGAATTTTTTTTCGTACAAATCATTTTTATAATTACTGTTCAAAAGTATTATATTTGACATCAATACAAAGATGTAGATATTTTACAGCTTTTAAAAAAACAACATATAAAGTTACTTATTTAAATTAAATTGATATGTCAAGTCATTCTGTTGTTTTGAGATGCCTCGACAAAAGGAAGTCTAATGTTGTTTAATTAGGTGAATGAGAAGAATAGCATCTTCTCAAGAACTAACAACAGATGATAGTTTTTTCTAGACAGCCTTACCAGATACGTACTTCTCAAAGGTTGTCCGTACTTGACTGAATGATATCTATAGCAACAGGTGGGTCAATATCACGGACTCCTCATTCACCTGCTTTAACATCATTAGACTTTTTTTTGTAGAGGCACCTCAAAACAACAGAATAACTTGACATATCAATTTAATTTAAAAAAAATAACTCTATATGGTGTTTTTAAAAGCTGTAAAATGTCTACATCTTTGTATTGATATCAAATACAATACTTTTGAACAATAATTTTAAAAGTGACTTGTACAAAACGAAAACTTTCTTTTCTCTTCCATAAAATAAAAACAATATTATTAATATTACTTTGCTAATAAGAGAGAAAAATGAATTTCTTAAATGATTATGACTTTTCAAACATCTTATACATGTCAAGTTCAATTTTTTTGATTGTGAATGTACAATAAACAGTAAAGCAATAGACACACTTTTAGATGTCAAGGATGTTGATAAACGTTAACAATCGTTAGCAATTAACTTTTATATAATCAATTAAAAGAAAATTTTACTAAATGAACACAATAATTATCCATTTATGAAAGAAATAATTCAATAGAAAATTTTTTTTTGTATAGCTAATTATATTAGAAAAGAGTTCTTAAGTATAATTAAAACAAGATCGAAATAATGAGATAGTTTTTTTTATGAAAATGATTTATCAAAAAATTTCAGTTTACAAGAAAAATTAAATATTGTTTATAATTATGACTTTCATTTATTTCATATAAAATATTTCTATTAAAACTCATCCAAAATCTATATATATAAAGAAGAAAGTTTGTCTGTTTGTTCTTTATGCATTTGGACACCGTACGAGCAAATGCAATGAAACTTTTCAGGAATGTTGTCTACAACCAGGGGAAGGTCAACGTGTACTTTGCTCCGAAAAAAATAAATCCTACGCTTACTATAGACAATCTATGAAACTGACCAATAGGATTGCAGCATTTCAAAAGGTTAAAAAAACATTGATAGCGAAGGCGGCCGAAGGCCGTCTGAGCGCTCCTATGAAACATTTCACATGTTCTATCTATCTACGACAACCCGGTACTTGGTCAACATCTACTTTGTTCCAAAAAAAATGAATCCTACGCTTGCTACAGGCAGTCTACGAAACTGACCGATAGAATTGTAGCATTTCAAAAAATTAAAAAGAATTAATAGCGAAGGCGGCCGAAGGTCTGAGCGCACATCTTCTATTCGCTATGCATTCGATCTCTGTAATAGCTATGATCACGAAAATCTCCATGACCCTTCCTTAGGTCCTAAGCACGGGGGTGGCATCGTCATCGGGAGGGGGGGCGTGATTGAAACTTCACCCAGGTGGTTCCGTGATAGCTAACGCCACCAAACCATCAATCACACTTCTGTATATACAAGGAAAAGTGGCGAGTAGGTCGGATATGGAAGGTGCTTGAAATATAAATATTCTGCAGCGGGAACCGTATCAGAGGGATTTTACAGCCACAACTGTATGAGAGAGAGTTTGTAGCGGGAACTGTAAGACAAGAATTTTGCAGCGAGAACTATGTAAGAGAGAATTTGCAGCGGGTACTTCCGCTAGTAATCTATATGTATCAGTATGTACTAAAACAAAAACTTTATTCAGGAAAAGATCGATTTCATTTTTAAATTGAATATTTTATAAATACTTGAATATATTTTGGTATTATTATATTAAAAGATATATCTATATTTGATTACTCATCAATAGTTAAAACAGCATACGGTGGGACAGATTAAAATCATATTTGGCGTGATGGTATTTAAATAATTTGTTAAATAATTATCCAAGTGATTTTACAATAAATGATTAAACTCTATTTATTATCAGTCGTGAGAAAAAAACAAGTAACGCGCGTCGGAGCGACTCGCTGGACCCTCGACTGATTGCGACTAGTATACTTCCAAAAACAAATCATGGAGATGCACTCGTTTACTCCTTATACCATAGTTTGTTGAAATGTTTCTCAGTTTTCAGCATTATGTTGGGTGACTCGATGAATCCAACAAAAACGTTTTCTAGATAATACCCGAGCACCTCCATGAACTGTGTTATATCCGCAGCGGCTCGTCGGTCATCGGCGTCCCTTCGGTCCGCCACTCTCGACTCACCGCTGCTAATCGATGATCCTAACTGCTTTTCACTCTATGCGTCACTCATCTATTGTTGTTACACGATTGTTTAAGAGTGAGCACTCTCTAGATATACTTTCTCATATAATGGTCGAGAGAGGCATATCGAGAAACCAATGCTGTCCTCGGATCGCCCGCTCCCAAGCACTAACGATAAAGGTTTTGACAGGTTTTCAGACTGAAAGTGTTTTGTTGACACCAACGTTCCTTTGAACTCTCCAGAGAGACAGACAAACGTTTTTCTCCTAGACCCTCTTTACAGTCGAGGCAAGAAATCAGTCTCACTACTTCATACAATGCAATGCAGGGGGAGTCGAGGATGGCATAGTGATCTATGCGTCTGACTGTTAAGTCAGATATCAGAAGGTTCGATACCTTCCATTGGCTCGTCGGGTGATGGTGATGATGGAAGAATGGAAGGAAGAAGAAATATACAGTTCGTACGAAGAATAAACAAAGAATCACGTGGACATGGTTATATATGACCTCGCCAGTTTGTTTGTTTTCTCCTCTTTGTAACTCCTTTCTTCACTGTGTTATCATCATTGTCTTTTCGTAAGCGTCCGCTAAAATTGTACTTGTACTAACAAAAATATCCTGGACGGAACGAAATAAATACCGCATAATCAAAAAAAAAAAAAAAAAAATGCAGGGGTGTCTGGTGCTGGTGAGTGTGGGTGACGGTATAGGTGTCGGCGTGATTATTTTGCTATTCGACATTCTCATCTACCATTTCACACCATAACCCAACTCGGAACTAACCCACCCTAACACCCACATCCATAACAACACTCTCAAGACTCAATTCTACAGTTTCTATACTCGCGATTTCTGATTGGCCAATTCTATCATCCTCGGTTTCTGATTGGTCAACAAGTAACGCTCGTCCGAGAACTCGTCTAGCCCTTTCACGTTCAAAACGCATTTTCTTCACATTTACTAAAAAAACAAACAAAAACCGTGAAAAATTGATTTTCAATATTCTTTTTTACCTTTGACCTCTCTTCACCCACTCAACTCCACAGAGTGACCCAATCGTCCTCAGATTCAAGCTCTCCTCATCGGAATACCTCGAGAAATGTCATTCTCAATAAATACGTTTTCGATGTTTTTTTGACCTCTCACCGACACCCACCAAGCCCCGTACTGTGGTCACTCTATAGACCTCAGATTCCAACTCTCCGCATCGAAATACCACTAGAAATGTCTTTTTCCAAAAATTAGTTTTCGATGTGTTTTTTGACCTTTGACCTTTGACCTCTCGTCGATCCCCCCTCGATCTCACCTGGACCCAGTAGTCGTCAGAGTCGAAGTCCCCGTATTGAAATACCCCTAGAAATCTGTTTTTTCAAAAAATAGTTTTCGATGTTTTTTTGACCCTTGACCCTTGACCTTTGACCTTTGACCTGGACAGACACACAAACGCATTTTCGTTTTTTTCGTATCACCCTCCTTTCAGTCGAGGGAATAATATATTTAATTAATTAAATACTCATTTTCGACTACTATTAATTTTTTTCCTTTTAATTTGAGATGTTCTAATCGACATGTGAAGTGGAAAGTATCATTT